TTTTTTGTCATTTTTGGTAAAAATTGATATTTTCAACTTCTTGTTAAAAACCGCAAGTCTGATTGCTTTGATATTACATATATAGATACATGTGGACCTCTCTCCGATTTGTTCATTTCATGATGATATCTTCAATTATCTAATTTTAATGAATTCATTTTGTAATTTTTGGTGAAAAGTGATATTTGTGAATTCTTGTCAAAAACAGCAAGTCTGATTGCTTTGATACTATAAATATTGTTCATTTTCTAATGATATCTTCAGTTCTTTAATTGAAATGTGCATTGCTAACAGCAAAGCTATCTCAGCCGACAGGCTGCTTGTTTACCATCATCACAGCTATTGCATTTCTGTCATGAAAAATATTCTTCAGTCGTTTGAGAAATGAAAATTCTTCCTATTTCAAGCACACCGCGATATCCATATAGTGAGACATTCCAACCGCTGGAATTTGCTGAATGATAACTTTGACCATGATTGATGAGCGTCTAGTCTGATAAGAAAGCAATGTTGACTTGACCTCTATGATGAAACTCTAGTAGTGATGTCATTTTTAGCCAATCAGTAAAGCAGATGCTTAAAGGTCAACGATGATTGACAAACTGTAAACAAAAGCATCATGTGCCATTGCAGAGTCGTTTGCCGCAACCCTATTTTTTTGTCTCTTTATTATGATTAGACATTAATTAAAAGTACCAAGCTGACAGACAGCGAAATCCATGGATTAAAAGTGCCAAGTCCAAATTGTGTGCGACGACATCAACGAACTTCAGGACAAAGCTGAAGCGATTTTGTTCTAAGGCGAAAGTGACGCCGACTTGGACGTTTGAGGGTTTTTGAAGTTTTTTCAAACAACTATGAACTTTCATAATTTTTACTATTTATGTAAATTATCTTGTATGACTGTTGATCTGGTATTTGTCAAAACCGGAAATAATTTTACGTACATGTAGTTTAACCACTGACATTATAGTTCATACGTATTGGTCTGTTTGTCGGTGGGAAATCCTAATTCAAATGATTCCTCACTGTTGATTTTTATTATTTCTGGTTTATAAAAAGTAAAACATTTTTGTTATAAATATTCTAATGTTGCATATTGTTCATTTATTTCCGTTGCATGTTTTCATTTGCTATTCTATTCCCTGTCGCAGTTTGATCTGCGTGTTGTCAATTTTCGCTTTTTTGCAGGGAATGTCCGGGCATAAGCCCACCCCTATTTTTTGTCATTTTTCCATGTTCAGGGCCCTGGGCGCTTACCCGGATAAATGCAGTATATTAAAGAAGTATAATTATAGTTGGAAATGTTGTTTTTAAAACTACTTTTCCTTTTTGTATTTAACCAGATTCAAACCAGTTAGTTATCAGACCATGCATAACCCTGTGAGTAGGAACTATTCATAGTTTGTTGTCATGTTGGGTGGAGTCCTGTTCTCTATTCATTACAGTAGGTCATCATTTATATATAGGGCATCTCAACCGATGATATCAATGTAGTAATGGTCAATGTATACAATGTGTGTTGAATTGTTGTTATCATTTATATATAGGGCATCTCAACCGATGATATCAATGTAGCAAAGGTCAATGTATATGTTGAATTGTTGTCATCATTTTCAGCATGCAAATAATCATTTGTGTGCGTAACTTTCTAGCTCCCTTGCTTCTGTTTTCACACCTTTCTTAGCAGCTGCATTCATTGTATTCGAATAATACTGTATCCTGTGTTTTACATGCATCTGAAGCAGAATGTTGTCATGGGAGGCTTTGTCAATATCCAGGCTTTGTAAACAGGCAAAATTGTTTCACAACCAGGATGTTGTGCTTAATGTCATTGACCGTTGTCTTGGTTATTTATGTGCCATTGATGTTTATGACTTCATAAAGTTTGTCCCGTCACTTTAAAAGTCCATGGTTGGAAAACATGTTTAAAAAGTTATTGTAGAATTTTATTACAGCTGTCAGTGGCATTTGATGTTACTATTGTATATGTAGTATATTTGAATTATTGTATTGACACTGTAGATTTGGAAATTGCATTTATTGTATGTATCGGTAGTATCCCTGAATGATGGCCTTGTTTAGCCATACATGTACATACACACACCTCAGTTACATGTACCGGGGGGGTTAACACCTCAAATTTACAACCAAGTTATTGACCAAGAGAATGATAAAATTATCAAGGTGATCATTCATCATGATATCTCGGTAGTGTTGCTTATATTAGTTGTATGTATTGAATTAAATTCAACACAGTACGTAATATTGTTTTATTTTGCCTAGAGTTTTTCACATTCACATGGTGGTTAACATTTCCAACCGTACATTGTACATTGTTTTGTTGTAACAGATGGATATTGATGGTCACACTGTGGATTCCTGTCTCTAATTCTAAATTTGTCTTACACATGTATTTGTCACAAGGAACCCATATCAAACATATGTATTGTCATGACATGTCATCAGTGGCAACGTTTCTGGGAAAATTAACATGCTAAATAAAAAAAATTGTCTATCTGTTGAAATTATGCTATTTCTTTGAAATCAGTAGCTCCATTCTGGTTATCACAGATTATCAGCCAATGGTAGCTGTATCTGGTTATCACAGATTAGTAGTCAATGGTAGCTGTATCTAGTCATCACAGATTATTAGTTAATGGTAGATGTATCTGGTTATCACAGATTATTAGTTAATGGTAGCTGTATCTGGTTATCACAGATTATTAGTTAATGGTAGCTGTATCTGGTTATCACAGATCATTAGTCAATGGTAGCTGTATCTGGTTATCACAGATTAGTAGTCAATGGTAGCTGTATCTGGTTATCACAGATTAGTAGTCAACGATAGCTCCATTCTGGTTATCACAGGTTATTATTTAACAGTTTTAGAGTTTTCCATACAACAGAGTAGAGGCTATATATTTTTGTATGGTGACGTGTGATTAGCAGTCATGTGGACTTTATGCTGATTTTTTTACAACCACAAAAAGGGCCACACATGTTTCCTATTGAAGAGGACCAGCTGTGGGAATACGTGTTTTTGAGGTGCACAGTTAGCAATGACAGTATTATAAAATGAAATGTTTGATGGAAATCACTAAAGCTTGCAGTGCATTATGAGTAATCTGCAATTGTCTACTCTGACACATTACTATTGATGTTTGTTAGTAGTTTTCCAAAATTATTTGTTATTAGTTTTTTTCAAATTTTAGCAAAAATTAATATTTTTATTGTGCTACATGTAGGCTAAATACTGTAAATTTAAAAAAAAAGTCATCATTGGAAAAATGAATATTAAACAAACATCATAAGTTTAAATTTGCTATGACTACATGTTTCTCACAAATACAGGTAATTTGAGAAAAACACAGTTACTGAATAGCCATGAAATATTGTTCTGAGCCGTGGTGTGCTTAGTCAATATTTTATGATCCGTCTTAGTACATCATTGTGGGATTTGAGTAGTAGTGTCATTTTTGGTTGATAAATATTTTGTGATATACATATTTTTTAATTTATTTTGTCTTTATATACATTGTGGAATATTAAGAGTTGAGCACTGTGTGGCTATGTTCTTGTCAAACAGCGATAACAAAATAATTTAGGGCCGGCCCTAAATTTACTCAGTTCTTTGAAGTTTTCAAAATGTCATTGCTATTCTGTGCACACATAAAATAAATCAAAGTAGGGCCACTCACTGTTATGAAAGTGTGATAAATCTGCACTGACAGACATAAAAACGATTTTGGAACATTGGAAATTAGTATTAGTTTCATAAAAAGTGACGCATTTGCTGATCAATCAGCTCATAAATAATTAATACTTGCGTCATACACCATGTCAAAGGTCATCTTTGTTGTCATTCACAGTACTAAGATCATGCAAAATCTAGTGATGACAAATAGAAATCTCTTTAGGCCAGCCAAAATAATAATATTTTGACTGTAAAAGCAAACTAAAATTTAATCTCGCTTATTCAACAAAACACAGAAGGCTAGTATGCAGCATTTAGTTTGTTTCACTGGATTACCTTCATTTGATCTTTAAAATCACACCTGAAGCTTGTACAAGGTTTCAAGATAAAATCTTTTGTGCACCAGTTACTTAGTGTTTTCTGGGCTTGGTTTCCAAAACTACAGATGTATTTTACTGGTACAGTGTACAACATCAGATCAGTGTTATTCAGGCCAATTCTAGATGGGTGGCCCTATTTTATGCATACTCAACATAACATTTTTTTGTTTGCGTAACAAAAGAAACCATCGAAACGTACATTTAATGATAGTGTTCACGTTACAGATCTCTACATATGCCGAGACTCCAAAGTGACACATGCCGAAAAATGTATTATGTGAACGATCAGGGTCGAGTCTGCATGTGCCAAAAAAAAATTGATTTTTGTCCCGATAGATGCTCGGGACAGAAACTCCACGCATGCCGAGATTTGCTGCCTGAACACTCGGCACAAGCCGAAATCACACCCTTGGTGGTGAATTTAAGGAAACATAATACTGATTCATACTACTATGACATGACGATGGAAAGAAGAGACACATATTTATGTGCCGCTGCAATGCTACATAAATGTGAACAAATAATTGTTTTTTTTTAATCTTCTTTGCCGTTCATGTGTATGTGACTCGTAATAAATACCATCACAGCAAATGGATATAATTTTAATATACAATGTAGCAATTTTTATATATAACAATATGTTTGGGTCAAATAATAGATCGATGAATGAGGGCGTGATTTCGGCATGAGCCGAGTTGGTCCCAAGTCGGTCCTGACTAACGTGAACGCAACTGCTGTAATCCCTCTGCAAACACAAAGGATTACAAATTTCAGCACGTCTCTTAACGTCAACTTAGCAATTGTGTAACTGACCCGATTCCCTGTCAAGAACTCTGAAGACAATGGAGGATCATAAAATTAGCATGTTAAATTGTACACATAATCTCTAACATTGTAATTCTTTGTATTATTTCTTGACCCAGGCACAAGAAATTAGAAGAAACTATATCAGAGCTTACTGATGAAGAGGTAAATTTGATAATATCAATAATAACGTGGCAACCTTATTCAATTAATACCTTTATAATACTGCGCAATCAACCAAGGAGGGCTAATGACTTATAAGTAAATGATGTACTATAGTTTCAATTAAATGAAAAAAAATCACTTTAATTTTGTGCATCTTTTAATTTTTTGTAATTTTGAGGTAAATTTAAAAAATATTATTTTCTTGTTTTCTAGAAAGCAGAAAGAAGAAGTCAACATGCACTAAAAGAGACTGAATTTCTTCGGCTCAAAAGATCACGCCTTGGCGTTGATGACTTTGAGTCTTTGAAGGTAATTGGTCGAGGTGCATTTGGTGAAGTGCGACTAGTACAGAAGAAAGATACAGGCCATATATATGCCATGAAAATACTCAGGAAAGCGGATATGCACGAAAGAGAGCAGGTATGAGAGACTAGCACGAAATTCAATTTGTTTCCTTCATTATTGTCAGAATACCAGAATATTTAAAACAAAACCAGAAAACACTATCAGTTTGGTGATTGTTACTGTAAAAACACATTACATAATTTGCCTCATACATTTGGCATAATTAAACCCATGTTTCTGTATTTTTAAAAATACCTCGACTTGGTAGTTTTATATTTTGACTCGCTTGTCTCTAAGTGGAAATATTTTAGCTCAGAAGGGTGACACACATGTAACAATTGAATAGTTATTTCTTGTTATCAAATTGAAATAAAAATCACTATTTTATGGTATCATTGTATTATTGTGTCTTGATTATTCATGTTAATAAACTTGTGCTAGTTATAACTTATTTTTGTGAATAATTGTTTTATAGTGTATGTATATTTGCTTTGTTGTAGGTTGCACATGTACGAGCTGAAAGGGACATATTGGTAGAAGCTGATAACCCATGGGTTGTTAAAATGTACTATTCATTTCAAGATCCACAAAACCTTTATCTTATCATGGAATTCCTGCCAGGTGGTAAGAATTAACAAACTATCGTTTTGACACATTGGATGTCATTGAATATCAACAATTGTCTTTAATATTTACAATCAAATTATTTAGTATTCAAAAGTAATTTCTTCCTAATTTGTACTTTGAATCTCTAATGTAGGAGATATGATGACGCTTCTAATGAAGAAAGATACATTGTCTGAAGAAGCCACTCAATTTTATATCGCAGAAACAGTACTAGCAATACATTCAATACATAAACTTGGATTTATACATCGCGATATTAAACCAGATAATCTACTTCTTGACAGTAGGGTAAGTTTATTGAAAATGTACAATGATCTTGTCTTTCTGCTCATGTTGCATAAATGTGATATGGAATGGGGGATATGAAGAACACCAGCAGGATCGATACCATTGCTGTTTCAATTTATGCCACAACAAACAGCTATTACTATCATGTTTGTGTATGGTGACTCACATGGTACAAAGTCTGTATCAGCAGCAGACTCATTTTTATATTTGTAAAATGGAAATTTTATGAATATGTACCATACTTTGTGCGACTTAGTGCCCATGGCACTCCAAAAATCATGTTTTTACCTTGCCCGTACCATCAAAGATGGAAGGAAAAGGTACAAAAATGTATATTAAGGGACAAATTTTGTCCAGTGTTGTC